CCTCAGCTGCAAAATTTAAGGAGCTACCAAAACACTCAGTAATCAAGATAAGTAATATTTTCATGCAATAGTTTAGAAAAACAAGATAAATACCAAAAGATATCTGATTTTTGAGGCACACCCTCAAATATAGTGGGTGAGGAGGATACCCTGATTCACCTCACCTGATCCCAGCCCTGCCCAGAGTAGGATTTGGAGGTCTGTGGAGGATGTATGAAGACAGAAAGGAGTTTACAGAGAGAAAAGAAGAAGAAAAGGTTCTCCAGAAACCATCCAAAGAGAGCCTTCCTAGCTCAAGGAAATTGAGAAAAAGAATTCTATAGGCTCTGGAAACCCAGGGAACCAAGTGCTGACACAGCAAGGGGTCAGGACAGCAAGGAGGAATCATCAGTGTGGCCATGGAAAGAGGGCCATGGGCAGTTGTACGAAGTATTATTTGACCCTAAAGAGACAAGGAAGCAGCAGGGAACCACTGGGCAGGAACAGTGAGTGAGTCAGTAGTAACCTCAGGGAACTAGTGACTAAAGGATGCACCCCACGACTTAGCACTTCTCAAGATGCAGGGACTGCAGTCCAATGTAAAATGACAGCTAAGATCACCGCCTGCTGGCCAGCAAGATGGAGGTACACAGTGAAAACATAATTAGATTTACAGAAAATAAAATTAGGCAATAATTAAGCAGCTTGATTTAAGACTGAATAATCTATATTTGCTGGAAAAACATATCAATTTAAACATGTCAATTTAAAAAGACATCCAAGGTTTAGGAAGAATTCCTATTAAAATCATACTTTCTGTTTCCAGAGTTACCTCCATGATGCTCCTGCATAAATCTCTCACTGTCAATCTCTCACTCCCACCAAAGTTCTTTTGGGAAGTTGGAGCTGAGAATGTATACAGCATGCTTCTTTCTATCCGATCAGGAGAGAGACCAAGATCTCACAAGTAAAATTTACTTTCAGATCATGATGAAGTTACTGGCTTTCTGTTGACATAAATTACACAGGTACCACATTGGAAGACACATCATTTTCTCTGTGCTGAATGACTTTTATAATAGCAGCTGGATTTCTCAATGTAATTTTTCTTAAGGTCAAATTTTCCTCTCTGAGTATATTCAGAGATATGAAACTTGTCAGAATGAATCTAGATATATCTTTATGTTCTTTTATTATTTGATTCCAAGATTCTATCAGGAAGATAGACGTGGAAAAAAAATACACCATTAACAACAAAATAAATATCTGATGCTACTCTGTACAGTACCTGTGTAAAACAGAAAGAATACAATCCAAGGGAAAGGGAGAAATTTCCACTATTTATCTCAACTACCATTGCTTTCTGGAAAACAACTACAGGGTTTTCACTGCAATCCATTTCCAGATTCTAGGATGTTGTCACTGTAAGATACACCCTGGGTTTAATAAGATCTTTCAAGGGGAAAAGGAAACAAGATTAAGCATTCATAAACAGTAAAAGGCACTCCAACTGAAGAAATTCTAAAATGTGAAAAAATATCCATTCAGTTAAGGAAAAACAGCAATGGAGATTCTATCTCAGAAACTCAGTTGTTAGCATCTGCCATAGAGGAATGACCAGGGGGATTTTACATCAGGACTGAAGGCAGGATGCTAAAACTTGGGATCAAGATGCAGGAAAGGAGAGAGGTGAGTTTTCCAGGTTTCCTAGGCAGGGTGGCATGGAGGGAAGATCCATAGTCTTTGATAATTGTGAGTTCAGATCTCAGCTCTGCCATTTATGACCTGTGTGACTTGGAGCCTCAGTTCCCTCACTGATACATTTGGAATTGCTTCTTGCATACAACAAATATTTATTGTGAGCCTACATTTTTCTAGGCATTGATTATACAAAAGGAACAAGACAGAGAAGGTTCCTTCCTGTCCTCCTGAAGCTTACATTCTGAAAGAGGGAGTGGTGGGGAGCAAGCAGGTAGACAAACAAAATAAACGAGATTATTTCAGAGGCTGGGGAGTGCACTGGAGGAAACGAAACAAGGGGATGGGACAGCATCTGAGGGAGGCCGTCTCTCAGGGGAGGCAGTATTTGTGCTGAGACCTCAAAGAGCTGGAGGAAAATCATTCTGGAGAAAGGAAATGATCAGTGCAAAGGCCCCAAAAGGAGATGACTGTGTATGAGAAGCCACAGAAGCATTTGTGTGACTACAGCAGAACCAGCATGTGGAGAGGGTGGGAGATGAAATCATTGAGGTAGAGAGAGCCAGGCCATTTTTCTCCTCTAGGCCATGGTGAGGAGGCGGACTGAGTTCTAAAATGTATTGGGAAGCCATCTTAAGCTGTGGGCAACATGATTGAATTTCTGTTTAAAATTCATGCTAATGATGGTCATTCATGCAAGAGATGCTGGGGTGGGATAATAATGCCTATACAATGAGGTCGTTTGAGGATTCACTGAGAAAATGTCAAGGACCTGGCATATAGTGGAAACTTGCCTGGCTCAAAACAGGACAGAAGTGGCAGGGAGTTCACACACCAAGAGAAACTCTCAAAGAACAAAGGACAGGAGTTGGTGGATACAATCCAGTTTTCTTGCACAGCAGTGGGACAGTTCTAAGGTGTGTTCTAGAGGGCTCCCAGTGGACGTGAGCGCCAGTTGCCCACAGCGGCCCTCACAAGTGAATGCACCCTTTCTTGGCTTTCCTCTCTTCCTGGACTCACTTTCCCCATTCCCTCTCCACACTTCTTGGGTTTGCCTCCCAAATAAACTATCCACCTATGTCCTTGTTTCAGGGTCTGCTTGGGAGAACACCATGTCCCCAGATTTCTCCAGGTAGGCTCAGCTTCCTCCCACTCTGGCCAGCAGCATCTAGCACTACCTGGGTGAGCTGCTGTCCACTCCTCAGCACAGCTATCGGGCTGGACCCCAGTTACTCACACAGGCCCAGCCAGTCTTGCTCACACACTGGAACTCGTTCTAATCCCCCTTTTAAATAAAGAAAACCAGAATTATTTCTGCAAACCCTCTGAGTTTGCTGGCCCTGGATTACATGGCTAAAAACTTCCTCCAAGACAGCAGTCCTGGGACTCAGAGAGCCCTGGACCCAAGGCCAATCTGTACCGTGGTCCTCTGGGATCAGCTTCAGTCTGGGCAGCCAAGCATTAGGCAGGTCCATTCCAGTCAAGAGGGGCTAGATGGTCCCCAAGCTCAGTGGCCTCCTGCTCATTCTCAGTGGCTATGAGAAAGTCACAGGCTGGTTTCCCCAGGAAGCAGACACTGAGAGAGAGGTGTGTGCACAGGAAGTTTACTGGGGACTGTTCTGTGTCAGCACCTGCTGGGGAAGAAGGTATGAATGGCGTGAGACTGAGTAGAAGAAGGAGCTAACTGTGGTCTAGTTGAAGCAAAAGCCACGTCTGATCCCACATGGAGCTACAGGGTGGCCCTACGGAGCTGTCCTGAGTTGAAGCAAGGGGACTGGAACTTTTTAACCCAGTTCAACCAGTTATTGGATGTGAGCTTCCCCGAAGAAAGATATGACTGAGTGAGGAGACTCAATTCAGCCCAGGGAAGCACCAGGATAGCGGGTGCTTCAGGGATCGATAAGACAACCAGAGTCTCCACATCAGTGTCATGAGTTTTCAGAAGAGAGAATCAGAAACTCCCCTGCCACCTAAAGCAGGTAAGAAATACAAAGCAATTGCCTTATGATTGCCCAACTCAGGAGGAGCTGGAGCCAAGCCCTAGAAAGAACACAAGTCACTTGACAGTCACCCCTGAGGCTTCTTCACTGGAAGTGTCCCCCCTTGGAAGGACCAACCATGACTCCTAAGCCACCTCCACATTCACCATCAACTCCCAACCAATCCATAGGTGACTGGGTTGCATGTGATGCCCCTGGCCCCGCAGTACTGGCCACTGGTTTCAAACACAGCCTTCCAGGTCTCATGAAGTGGGAGGACTGGGGCTGGAGTTAAAGGAGCCTCTAGAAAAAGTACCTCTGTTGCGGAAAGGAGTCTTTTTAGTATTGCTCATCCACAGGCATTTGGGATCTGGCCTTGCAGGATCAGACACAGAGCAGAGGCTGGGAACTGAAGGGATGGTGCCGCTCTGCACTGTGGTGCTTATCTGGCAGCTGGCATTTTTTGTAAACCAAGTGATGATAGGCAAGTCAGGTCACTTCTCTGCGTCTCGGTCTCCCCATCTGTAAAGTAGGGCTGAGAATCATAGCCAGCGGTGCCATTGGTCTGGGTGGAAATGAGATACGCACTGGAATTCACTCCAGGAGCTCTATATTAAGTGCTACACAATTGTCAACGTTTTTAACACAGCTTTGTGGTAATAACAACACAGCTTCTGTGTTATTTCTGAATTATGTTCAAATATTATCATTTGGGTAATAAAAAGCAAAACCATGCAGTAAACCATTAGAGAAAAGAAGCTTTCATCACTGTTTATGGGAGGATAAATTAATTCAAAATCAAGTTGGCAATATCTTATCAAGTTGGAGATTTTCTCTCTAAGGAAAGAAACTCTCCTACACACGCACGAGGGATGCATATAGGATGGATGGTAAATACAACATGTTTGTAAGAATAAATAATTACTGCGAAACAGCCTAAATGTCCATTGGAAGAGAAACTAAGGAAGTTAAGTGGACAGATCCAAGCAACACTGAGGAAGTAAATCAATGAGGATGGACTGATTCAGGAGTCAGAGAGTGAGGTATCAAGGGTGATGCCTGTTTTGAACTTGCTGAACAACACCATTCCCTGAGCTAGGGAGAAATAGAGGAGGACCAGGCTTGGGGATTCTGCTGTAGAGGAACTTCTGATGGCTGTGCACGGATATGTTCTGTAGGCCGTTGGAAAGGTGGGCCTAGAAGTTAGAGAAGCCTTGGATGGAAACATAACTGGGGGCAGGGAAGGAGAGGTTCATCTGCAAATAGATAGTGAGTGTAAATGAAGTTGCCAGGTGAAATAGAGTGAAAATAAGAGTCTAGGACTGAACTTTGAGGACCTGCAACTATATTTTTAACAACTTTATTGAGGTATAATTGACACACAATAAACTGCACATAGCAAAAGTATACAATTTGGTACGTTTTGACATATATACCCCCATAAATCCATTATTACATTCAAGAAAACGAACACGTCCCTCATCCCCAAAGTTACCAAGTGTTCCCTTGCAATCCCTCCTCCCCGCTCTCCCCATTTCCATCTCCAGGAAACCCCTGATCACTTTCTGTCACTGTAGATTCACTTGTATTTTCTGGAATAGTACGTAAGTGAAATAATCAAAATGTAGTCTTTTTTTTCTTCTTTCATTCAGCCTAATTCTTTGGCGGTCCATCCATGTTGTTCGTGTATGAATAGTTCATCCCTTTTTTGTGGCTGTTATTCATTGTGTGGCCATACAATCTGTTTATCCATGCACCAAATCATGCACACTCAAGCTGTTTCCACTTTGGGGCTACTACAAATAAAGCACCTATAAATATTGTGAAGTCTTCATAGGACATATGCTTGAAATTCTCCTGCGTAAATATCTAGAAGTGCAATTTCATATGGTAGGTACATGTTTAACTTTTAAAGGAACTACCAAACCGTTCTCCAAAGGAGAAGTCTCATTTTATACTCCCAGTAGCAAGGTGTGGGAATTCCAGTCACTCTGCATCCTCGCTAGGATGGTCAGTCTTTTCATTTTAGTCTCTTAATTTTAGCTATTCTAATGGGTGTATGGTGATATTTCATAGTGATTTTAATTTGCATTTCCCTAGCCACTAAGGATGGAACTACAGCTTTTAGCAACTGGAGGAAGACTGAATCTATACAGGAGATCCAAAGGTATAGGAGAAAAAAAAAAAAAAAACAGAAAAATGTGACATCATGGTAGTCAACAGGAGAAATTACTCAAAGAGAGAGTGGTCAGTAGGGTCAAGTGATGCTTATTTGAAGATTGAAAATTCTCTTTTGGATTTAGTGAAATGAAGGTTACTGGTGTCTTTATCAAACAATGTTCTAGTAGCAACTGAATCCAGCTTCCAGCCTCTTCACGTTTTCAGAATGAGTCCCATTACACTGCCTGCTGGGCAGCACCCTCTCCTCAGGGGTCTGAGTCCCAGCCCCACAGGGCCCCTCCTCCAAGCTTCTGAGGTTAAAGCACCAGCTGGTACTTCTTTGATGTGGTTTCAAGTTTCTAGGGAGTGTCAAGGGTTTGGTTTCCTGAGAAGCCAACTCTGAAATCCAGATTAGCATCCAAAAGGCTTATTAGGGAGTGGTCTCAGGATCATTACCTCTGGAAGGGAAAGGAAAGAAGCAGGATTGGGCAAGGGAAAAGGTAGGCTGTGATGCAGTCTCAGCCAACAGTTCAGCCAACCCCCATGAGCAGGTCAGTAGTTGGATGGCCCTTCAGTATTGTCCCTATTTGGGACAAAGGAGCTGAGCCGCCATACCCTACATGGACTAGTCATTTGATATGGCCTGCTTCAGGAGGGAGCTGAAAGGTGTCTCTTCCAGTGGAGGGTAATTCCTGTACAGGGTTGAAAGCTGAGGGCCATCATCCAGCAGCACCCCAAGCAGCTTATTCCCTTCAGTCTTGGAGGACCTAAGTGGCATACTACAGTGTCCACTACAAGGAATTTCTCCTTCAATCTCTTAGGTTCTAATAACCCCAACTTCTTCCCTTGGTTCTCCACCTAAGAATGGGAGCCACTTCCTGCAGTTACTATCTCTAAATTATACCAGAGCCTCTTTTGTGCTTTTTCCATTTTCCAAAACCTGATTAAGCAATTCCTTATGTTGAATTCTCTAGTACTGTCCCTGTTTTCCTAACTAATACACCCCTCCACCCAGATGGCTCCAAAACTGTTAGGGAAGGTAGAAGTGAGAAAGCCACACTCTTGACTGGATTTGTGGCCTACTGACCAGGTCATTCATAATCTAGGAAGGTAAATTTGGGAAATATTAGGATATGTTTTGCTGTCAGCCCACACATACTCCCAGAGTCATCTGCAAAGACTAATATTTCAGCACAGAAATCTGGAATGTGTCCTGGGTGTATGCCCTGCAGGTAGGAATGTGCTTGAACTCTGAGCTCCTTCAAGTCCCTGTGTAATCCATTTACTGCATTTCTGACATATTAATGTACTAAATGGCTCCCTCGTGATCTGAAAATGTTAACACAGTCACAGCCCAAGTGCCTGACTTTACATAGAAATGACTCAGGCTCAGGGATAATTGGGCTGAAAAGCAGTATAATGGTATTGCAGGAGCAAGAATGATTCAATAGTTTGGTTTTTTCTTTCCTTGTCTCAGACTGCACCAAAACTCATTTTTGGTAAGACTGAAATGCTAGAGACCAAGAGTAGTACATCCTAAATAAACAGGTCTTGTCAACTAATCAAGTGTCCTTCACATCTATATGTAGTCATATCAGCCTCTGGAGATCATTCATTCCCTGGCCGTCATCACCAGCACAAAGAAGTAATTGGAATACAGGCCCACTTCTGTTATTCAGAGCACATTTTATTAACACAGAAAGACCACAATGCACCTTATTAATCTCACAGGGGGAGTTTAGACCCTGGTAAGCACCACTCCTGTAGTACAGAATAAACTTGGTTACAAAGAGGAAGCAAAACACATCATTATTACCAAAATTCCTCACTGATGACAATGCTTATCCCCCAAAAATGTATTAAAGGCTTTAAATATACAAATCTAAAAATATGTTGACATTTAACATTTACTTAATTTTTTTAATATGCTTTAAAATGCACTGAGTGTCTCTCCCTCTGATTCGCCAATTATGTGAAGAAGCCTCTTTCATTGTTTTTCTCTCAAACTTCCATCCTTTCTTCTGTCCTTGAGCAGAACTGGGGGCTGAACAGATTCCCGAGGCGGTGACTACGATACCTGCTCCGCAACCCTCTTGTGCTGGCTCCGGAAGTGACCCTCACTGCTGGGAGACACCTGCTTCTGTCGTTTCACTGTATTGGTCTTGCCAGCCGTTTCAATCCAGGGGTGCTGAAGAACCTGATGAGCTGTGTAGCGCTTTTTGGGGTCTACCACCAGCAACCGGCTCACCAGATCTTTGGCAGCTGTTGGAATGAGAGAAGGGAAAAATGTGATGAATGCAAGTGGTTCTGAATTTTTCTTCCCCACACATGAAATAAGAACACAAACATTCACGTCAGCACCATGGCTGGCTGAAAGGCTCCTTCATATTCTAGAGCAGCACCGTCCAATAGAAGGCAGGAACATTCTCTATCTGCACTATCCACCTGTGATTATTGAGCATTTGAAATCTGGCTTGTGAAACTGAGGAAGTGAATATTTATATGATTTACTTTGAGTTAATTTACATTTGCATTTAAATAGCCATGTGTGGCAGCAGAGAGGGGGCTACCATGTTGGACAGCACAGCTCGAGAGGACGTTCATTCATTTATCTAGAATCACGGGGCCAGGCCCACTCTTAACATCCCAGGCACTCAGGACAAAGGAACAAATGGAGACCACATGCTATACATCTACATACTTTAAGATTCCAAATCAAAACTAACACATTGTTAAATAAAATATGTTCAATCTTCCCAAGTCAATACATATGTCTTCACATTGACAAAACTGAAAACCGCGTAAAGACATCTAAAAAGTAAATAGTGCAAATTCAAAATTAATTTTATTTTCTGCCCAAGACCATGACTGGATTAATCTTAGAGAAATGAGGGGCCGACTGGTGGGCCCAGCAGCAGGCAGAAAGCAGAAGAGATTTCCCCCTGGCTTGCCAGCTCTCCCAGCCTGGCTCATTGAGCCTGCTCTTTCAATCACTCAAGAATGCACAAGAAGAAAACATCCACTTTTTTCGTTGTTGTTCTTTGCCTTTATTGAAGGCTGTCTTTTACTCAAGGCCAGCCGCTCACCCACCAATCACCGCTCCCGTACACCGATGTCCAGCCACCTCCTGAGCACAGAAGGCCCAGATTCCTCCTACACCACCCAATTCAAGCTGGGAAAATTCTGCCCACAAAAAGCCCCAGCCCCACCACTGCCAGAACCACTCTCTCAGGGTCCTCAAATGACTCACTCAGAGGCTGGAAGGCCAGATTGAAGTTGAGAATCCTCAGACTCTTGTGTACAAGTGTGGACAACCAGACACCCCAGCCAACATGTCCAAGCTCTGTCTACCTGCTCCAAACAGCCACTCCTCGGCCACTTTATGGCATAGTGGGAAGAGGCTGGAAAGAGGTCTTACAAACCTTGGATGTGGGCTTGGGCCATTTGGACAGGGAATTCATGGGTCTTAAGGAAGTGACCTAGAAGAGGGGACCTGGGCTCTGGGGGCACATCCCCTAAGCCCTATACTCTCGTCACTCTGTAGAGAAGGATGTGACTAGCGCAGGCCCCAGGACGAGGGCCACCCGTGCCCAAATCTAAGGAATGCTGCACAGAACTTTCTAAAATGATTTTTAGTCCCTCAATTCCCAGTTGCCACTGCCTTGTCAGCTGAAGATCCTCATCTACTGTGACAAGCCACCCTCTCCCTACCTTATTTAGAGGGGGAAAAATGAAGATTTTCCCTTTCCTCATCTTCCAATCCCAGTGAGGAAATAGAGGCTAGGGATGGAGGCAGTTCAATAACTAAAATTAAACAGCATGTTTAGGGAAAATTGAAAAACAAAATGTTACCATTCTTATTCTACTTTATTTTTATTTTTATTTTGAACCAGGATCTCTATCACCCAGGCTGGAGTGTGGTGGCACAATCATAGCTCACTGCAGCCTCAAACTCCTGGGCTTAAGTGATCCTCCTATCTCAGCCTCCAGAGCAGCTGGGACCATGCCTGGTTAATTTGCTTTATTTTTTGTAGAGAAGGGGTCTCGCTAGTTGCCCAGCCTGGTCTCGAACTCTGGGCCTCAAGCAATCCTCCCACCTGGGCCTCCCAAAGTGCTGGGATTATAGGTATGAGCCACCACACCCAGCCTCCTATTCTACTTTTTAAGCGAAAGACTCAAAATCCCCAATTATCTAGTTCTCAGTTTTACAAGGACTGTGAGTAGTACAGACAAATCCGTAGAGACAAGGGGAAGGATTTCATTTGGAATCAAATGGAACAGAGGGCCAAAAGCAGGGAGGACCATGCATGCTCCAGGTCACTAAAAAATAACTAAGATCTTCATTGCAGAGCCCCTGTGCTCCAAGTGTGCTGCTATAGGACCCTTGGTTATGCACGTGTAAAAGAAGCATTTTCAGTCTGTTCCATTCACAAACACTTCTGTATATAAGATGGCCTTTCTCTTTCCAAAGGAGAGTTATAATGTTTCTGATATTTTTCAGTTCTAAGGTTCTTGAATTACCTTAAGGAAAAGTACTTGGTGACTGTAACTGGTGGTTAAGCTTTTTCACTAAATCTCAAAGTACTAAATTTTTTCACTAAAATCTCCAAGTTTTCAGAGTGCTACACAAACCTACATGAAGCTACTGAGGAAGTAAAGGATGAGACATGACATGGTGACAGTCCAACTCTGCACCGGGCACAGTGGTGGGTCCTCTACACATCTGACCTGAAAAATCCATCCCCTCCTCTGCTGTGTGAGGAAGCCCCAAATCTCACCATCAGAGATATTGTCCCAGTAAGGGGGGAGGAACTCAAAGTGGCCCAGCTGGATGATGTTAAAGAGCTCGTCCTGGTCCCTCTCAGGGCTGCGGAATGGCGGAAAGCCACACAGCAGGATATAGAGGATCACACCGGCAGCCCACATGTCCACCTCCAGTCCATAACCTGTGCAGACAGAGGCAGAGACACAAACAAACCTGAGACCAGGCAGGGTCAAAGGTGACGAAATAAATGATGGAGTATTGTGGTTCTAAATAGATCTAAGTTACAGACTATCCCAGCTCTCAGCAACCAAGAGCCACTTCCAAACACAGCTCCCTTCTAACTCCTATACATAAGGATTCTACACCATCGTTACTCAAAGTGTGGTCCATGGACCACTGCCACTTTGCAATGCCTTATTACTGGTCTGCAATAAAATGAGCACAGAAACACTTGAAAGCAAGTGTTTGGAAACGCTTATAGCAATTTAACAAGACTGTGACATTCAGTTGCATGATTGAACGGCACATCTCGTTGAACAGCACATACATCAGTTCAGGCGTTGTCATACACATGTGGTGAGTCACATGTGGCATGAGATGTGTTCTAGTCACATGCAGCAGGACGGTGAGTCCACACTGTACTGGAAATTTTAAAACTTCACCCTTCACCAGAGATAGTTAGAGAAGCCTGAGTCTATACTAGCAATCTCTGCTTCCTATATATCCATTGCCTTCTCTCTCACTTAAAAAATATAATTTACTGGCTTTTTAAATGATTTTTAAAAGACTGATGTTTACTAGCTGTATCCCCCACATGTGCACACACTGGTACACAACACACACACACATATGCACACACCCATATGGAGACATGTATTCTTTTCTAAATAACACTTTTATTTACTTTTCTACAGAAAATTAGGATCACATTGCACTTACACTCTATTTTATTTACTTAATATTATATAATGGCATTTCCAACATAATAATTTCCTATGAAAAATATAAAAAATATTTTTTACAAACATGATTTCTAACAACTATTAGTATCCCCTTTACATAATAAATTGCTATGTTGTAATTTAAGTTTTTACTAATTTTTTTACAACTGTAAGGAATTTTCTGATGAGCATTTATTAAATATTTGTGCACATATCTGATTATATTCCTAAAATAACTTTCCAGCAGTGAAATAGACAAAGCAATATAAAGATTATTAATACATATTACACATTGTCCTCCCAAAACTTATCACAGCAATATATACATTTTCAAACACTTTCTAACTTTCTACAGTTAGAAAAAGAAAACACTTGACCGTTGTAATTTAGAAGTTAGATATTCATGATTAAGCCCCAGAGTAAGTTTGACAAAACACAAATCAGCAGGAAAACACTAAGAGAATAAGTCACTAACGACCCCTTGTGACCTTTTCTCGGTTCTCAACCGTTCACTGTTGAGAGGGACTGATTTTCCTGGGTCTCATCAATATCTAGAAATGTCCCTTGGCCTCCGTGACAATGCACTTTCCAGATCCTCTCTGGGATACCCACCCTTTTCTCTACTGACCCCTCCTTCCTTCTCTCATCTCTGGGCTGTTGGCCTCCTCAAGAATACGTCCTTGACTCTCATTCCTGGCATTACCAAGGAGCCCATTATCAACCACCTCTCTGTTGAGGAGTCTCAAAGCCACATGTTCAGCTCACAGCTTCACCTCCTTGCCAAATGGACAACTCCACTATCCATCCTGATATCTCTACAAAGTCAGTGTGTTCAAAACTAAACTCACCCCATCCCCCTATCTCCCAAAAGAGCTATCCTTTCCAACACCCTGTTTTAGCTGGTGCTACCAAGAATTTTAGAATTTTCCCAAGAATTCATGTTGCCTATTTGCTTTCTTTTCTTCTCTTAACCAGTTCATCGATGCCACACCAAGTCTAAACACCTCTACCCAGCCTTCCCATTTGTGGAGAATTTAAGCTCAACCTACCCAACTGATATAGTTTGGATATTTGTTCCCTCCAAATCTCATGTTGAAATGTGATTCCCAGTGTTGGAGGTGGGGCCTGTGGGAAGTGATTAGATCATGGGGGTGGATCCTTCATGCATGGTTTAGTACCATCCCCTTGGTGACAAGTGAGTTCTCACTCAGGTACTTCACTTAGGATCTAGTTGTTTAGAAGTCTGGGATCTCCTCCCCCTCTCTCTCTCTTGCTCCTAGTTCCACCATATAACATGCCGGTTCCCTGTCACTTTCCACCATGAGTGTAAGCTTCCTAAAGCCCTTACCAAAAGCAGAGCAGATGGCTGGCACCATGCTTGTACAGCCTGCAGAACCCTGAACCAACTAAACCTCTCTTCTTTATAAATCATCCAGCCTTTGTTATTTCTATAGCAACACAAAAACCTGACTAAGACACCAACCAATTGTGTTTCTCTCTGGTCCACTGAAGCTAGTCTTCTCCATGTCTCTAACACCTGACGTCATGCATGTCATCTCCTCATCTTTTGGTGGTTTTTTTTGTTTGTTTTTTTGTTTTTTTTTTCTGACACGGAGTTTCACTCTTGTTGCCCAGGCTGGAGTGCAATGGCGCAATCTTGGCTCACTGCAACCTCCACCTCCCGGGTTCAAGCCATTCTCCTGCCTCAGCCTCCTGAGTAGGTGGGATTACAAGCATGCGCCACAACACCCAGCTAATTTTTTTGTAGTTTTAGTAGAGACGGGGTTTCACTGTGTTGGCCAAGATGGTTTTGAATTCCTGACCTCAGGTGATCCACCCCGCCTTGGCCTCCCAAAGTGCTGGGATTACAGGTGTGAGCCACTGTGCCTGGCCATCTCCTCTTCTTAATTGTCCTGATGGTTCTGCTGCTGGGAAACTATCCGTCCATCCCTCCTCCCTGTCACCAACCCTGCAACCCGATGAAGGTCTTCCCATCTTACAACGGTGGGTAAATTGATTTCTCCTGAAGTGCCACAGTAGTCAAATAGTCATTCATGTAGTTAGAGCCATATCATAACTATTATTTCCTTTTTAAATGTTTTAGAAAGTATGTCACTAAAACAACTCATTGGATCTTTGCATAATATACAAGTAGGTAATAAATATTCATAGAGTTCATGGAGGAAAATGGGATCCCCTTTTCCTTTAAATGGAAGGTTGGTGAAGAAATGTTTAAACCGAGTACCATAAGGACTACTTCAATTCTCTCCTGTTAGAGACAGCCTTGGGTCAGTAGCCCAAATGGTCTTGCTTGCTTGAGTTCCCCATCCAATTCTCCATCATCTTTCATCTCACTGTCCTGCCTAAACACACTAAACACACACGTACACACACAAACACACACACATACACACACACACACACACACACACTCTGATCCATTCACTGTAACAAGGGCAGCCCTGATGAGGAGAAAGCTCTCATGCTTTGATCAAGCCTACTTCAAATATTTTCATTGAAGTCCAAATCCAAGCCTAAGCATCAATTCTCTGAGATTTATTCCATATTGAAAACTAGTAAATATTACTAATGAAACATTTGTTAGTAAGGGAACTAGAGTCCCACAGATCTATGTGTAACACTTACCTTTCTCAGAAAGAATTTCGGGAGCTACATAAGTCGGGGTCCCACACACAGTAAATATAGGTCTCACCACATGCTTTGCAAGTCCAAAATCAGCCAATTTCAAGGTAGTAGATTTGTCCTCATTTCGTTGAACCTGTAAGAAACCAAAATCCCCAAACCACCACCAAAATTGTGATTAGAACAAAGAAGAGATACTAATGAAACAACAGGCTTGCAAGGTCAAGATAAGCAAACGATAAACCTATATGGGATTACAGCTTAGCCCAACACTGACAAAGCTAACTTGACCTCAATGACAAGGGCTCACATTTTCAATTAGGGAACCAATGAGTTAGATTTACTATGCCGTCCAATATGGTAGCACCATATTGTCAAAAGTGGCTACTTAAATTTATTGATTAAAATTAAATTAAAAATTTAGCTTCTCAGCTGCATTAGGCACATTTCAAGTACTCAAAAGCCACTTGTGGCTTGTGGCTACTGTATTGGGAAACACAGATAGACACACTTCCACTGTTGCAGAAAGGGCTATTAGGCAGCATTGAGTTAGAACAAGGATCAAGGATACTTTGAGCACAGTCTAGCTTTCATGAGCATTAGAAAATGGCTCTGGGCAATGCAAAGGCTGGGCAGACGTGAAAAAGAAAGGAAAAAGACTGGGAATGAAAATGAAGAAGTATGGGGCAGGGATGGGGGGAGGTGGGGATGGTTAATTGGTACAAAAAGAATAGTTAGAAAGAATGAATAAGACCTATTATTTGATAGCAAAACAGGGTGACTATAGTCAATGATAATTTAATTGTACATTTTAAAATAACTAAAAGGGTATAACTGGATTGTTTGTATTAGGTTGGTGCAAAAGTAATCACACAAGGATAAATGCTTGAGAGGATGAATACCCCATTCTCCATGATATAATGATTATGCATTGCATGCCTGTATCAAAACATCTCATGTACCCCAAAAATACATGCACCTAGCATGTACCTTGATATGGTTTGGCTGTGTCCCCACTCAAATCTCATCTTGAATTGTAACTCCCACAATTCCCACATGTTGTTGGGGGAATCCAGTGGGAAGTAACTGAATCACGGGTGTGGGTCTTTCCCATGCTGTTCTCATGAGAGCGAATCAGTCTCCCGAGATCTGACAGTTTTAAAAATGGGAGTTTGCCTGCACAAGCTCTCTCTTTGCCTGATGCTATCCATGTAAGACATGACTTGCTCCTCCTTGCCTTCCACCATTATTGTAGGAAGGCCTCCCTACCATGTGGAACCATAAGTCCATTAAACCTCTTTTTCTTCCTGGTCTCGGGTACAACTTTATCAGCATCATGAAAACGGACTAATACAGTAAACTGGCACCAGTAGAGTGGGGCACTGCTGAAAAGATACCCAAAAATATGAAAGTGACTTTGGAACTGGGTAACAGGCAGAGATTGGAACAGTTTGGAGGGCTCAGAAGATAAAAAAATGTGGGAAAGTTTGTAACTTCCTAGAGACTTGTTGAATGGCTTTGCCCAAAATGCTGATAGTGATATGGACAATAAAGTCCAGACTGAGGTGGTCTCAGATGGAAATCAGGAACCTGTTGGGAACTGGAGCAAAGGTGACTCTTGTTACATTTTAGCAAAGAGACTGGTGGCATTTTGCCCCTGCTCTAGAGATTTATGGAACTTTGAACTTGAGAGAGATGATTTAGGATATCTGGTGGAAATTTCTAAGCAGTAAAGCATTCAAGAGGTGACTTGGGTGCTGTTAAAGTCATTCAGTTTTATAAGGGAAACAGAGCATAAAAGTTTGGAAAATTTGCAGCCTGACAATGCAATAGAAAAAGAAAATCCCATTTTCTGAGGATAAATTAAAGCTGGCTGCACAAATTTGCCTAAGTAATGAGGACCTGAATGTTAATCCCCAAGACAATGAGGAAAATGTCTCCAGGGCATGTCAGAGGTCTTCATAGCACCCCATCCTATCACAGGCCCAGAGACCTACAAGTAAAAAGTGGTTTTGTGGGCTGGCCCCAGGATCCCCATGCTGTGAGCAGCCTAGGGACTCGGTGCCCTGCATCCCAGCCACTCCAGCCATGGCTGAAAGGGGCAAACATAAAGCTCAGGTTGTGGCTTCAGAGGATGCAAGTCTTGGTCACTTCCATGTGTTGGTGAGCCTGCCAGTGCACGGAAGTCAAGAATTGGGGTTTGGGAACCTCCGCCTGGATTTCAGAGGATGTATGGAAATGCCTGGATGTCCAGGCAAAAGTTTGCTGCAGGGGTGGGGCTCTCATGGAAACCCTCTGCTAGGGCAGTGCAGAAGGGAAATGTGGGGTCGGATCCCCCAAACAGAGTCCTTACTGGGGCACTACCTAATGGAATCTTGAGAAGAGGGCCACTGTCTCCAGATCTCAGAATGGTAGACCAATGACAGCTTGTACCATGTGCCCGGAAAAGCCACAGACTCTCAATGCCAGCCTGTGAAAGAAGCCAGGAGAGAGGCTGTACTCTGCAAAACCACAGAAGCGGAGCTGCCCAAGACCATGGGAATCCACCTCTTGCATTAATTAGCATGACCTGGATGTGAGACCCAGAGTCAAAAGAGATCATTTTGGAGCTTTATGATTTGACTGCCCTGCTAGATTTCAGACTTGCATGGGGCCTGTAGCACCTTTGTTTTGGCAAATTTCTCCCAGTTGAAATGGCTGTATTTACTCAATACCTGTACCCCAGCTGTATCTAGGAAGTAACTAAGTTGCTTTTGATTCTACAGGCTCATAGGTGGAAGGGACTTTACTTGTCTTGGATGAGACTTTGGACTGTGCACTCTTAAGTTAATGCTGAAATGAGTTAAGACTTTGGGGAACAGTTGAGACATGATTGGTTCTGAAATGTGAGGACATGAGATTTGGGAGGGGCCAGAGTGGAATATGGTTTGACTGTGTCCCCACCCAAATCTCATCTTAAATTATAACTCCCACGATCCCCACATGTTGTGGGAGGAACCCAGTAGGAGGTAATTGAATCATGGGGGCAGGTCTTTCCTGTACTCTTCTCATGATAGTGAATCAGTCTTATGAGATCTGACAGTTTTAAAAATGGGAGTTTCCTTGCACAAGCTTTCTATTTGCCTGCTGCCATCCATTTAAAATGTGACTTGCTCCTCCTTGCCTTCCACCATGATTGTGGGAAGGCTTCCCCAGCCATATGGAACCATAAGTCCATTAAACCTCTTTTTCTTCCCAGTCTCAGGTATCTCTTTATTAGCAGCATAAAAACAGACTAATACATACCCACAAAAATTAAAAATTACAAAAAATGAAGAAGTAGACCAATAAGCAGGAGAGAGATGTTAAATACAGGCCCTCATTGGGCGAGGTGAGGGATTAAGAATCAAACAGGCCAGGAGTCTTTGAGCAATTCCAGCTCCAAGACTTGCAGCTGAATGGCCTTGGACAAATTTCTTTACTCATCTGAGTCTCTGTTTTCTCATTTGTTTAAAAAAAAGGGGGGTGGGGTAGGTGCAGTGGCTCACACTTGTAATCCCAGCTCTTTGGGAGGCCAAGGTGGAAGGATCACTTGAGTCCAGGAGTTCAAGACCAGCTTGGGCAACACGAGGAGACCCCATCTCTACAAATAGTAAAAGTATTAGCCAGGCGTGGTGATGCATGCATGTGGTCCCAGCTACGTGGGAGGTTGAGATAGGAGGATCACTTGAGCCTGGGAAGTTGAGGCTGCAGTGTGCCATGATTATACCACTGCACTCCAGCCTCAGCAACAGAGCAAGACCCTGTCTCAAAATAAAAGAGGGAAGAATGGGAGTGACAGTTTCCAGCAAATAGGCTTATGTCATGAGTTTCATTCAATGTCTGCAATCTGCCTAGCAAAGTATTAGCTCTAGAGTGACCAAAAGGCGCAGTTTGACTTCCACCAGGTTTTAGAAAAGGGTAGAATTGGTCAATTTTTAAAATAGAGAAAAGGCACACTCACCTTCATTCTGAATGAATACAGAATCTGAAATGCTCCCTCCTTTTTCCCCTTCAAAACTTATCCCACCTGTCTCATTCCTTCAAACAAGTCCAGGTGACTGACTTTCTCATCTCTGGTAAGCCAATTCCCATTGCCAAGTTAGTATGTTCTGTCCTCCTTCCCCAACAAGTGATTTGATATAAGATTATGACTGTTAGGAAAAGCTGGACCTTAACCTAAAAGAAACTAATCTCAAGAGGTAAGTGTGGCAAGTATTTAGGTCACTATGCTGGAAAATAAAACTAAATTTCACAGGAAAAAACTAAACATGAGGGCGCAAACCCAGCATATCTCGCAGCAAGTAAAAGATGCATCAGTGCCCCTGCCTGAAAGAAGTTTTCCAGTTTGAGGGAAGGTTAAACAATCAGACACAATTCAATACTCCAGCATCCTTCCAGACTATCTGGTACCTGCACACATAAGGTCCAAGGGTAACTGCCCTGTTTCTCGTGGTAGAAGGTGATTGCTCAGACGAAGGTGAACTAAGCAGTTAGTTAGACCACTGTGTGAAAACTTACTAGAATTTGGGCAATCTTATCCAAGCAAGAGACTCATTAGTGCCACCACAGCTATAGGAGACACTATCAACTTGTCTGCAGGCATACGCCCTCACATCTCTCCTGGAACTGGGGCAAAGGCTCCTACCAGTGCCTGGACAGGTGGGCAGTAGGGGAACTCTGCCTCTCCCTGGGACCCATCACAGCCATGGGCAACACCTAGAATGGCAGGGTGGAGCCGCCTTTCCCCTGTCTCTCCAGACCAGAATAAATTCTCCACACTTGCTTTGGTTTCTGTCAGTGAGCTTACGTCTCCATAAGCAGCATGTGTCTTAATTACTGAGCCCAAGTCACCACCAGACAATCTAATCAATGTCTCCATAATTAACCTCACCAAATGGAAAGTCATAAATTTAGAACTAAAATGAAATTCTGCTTGGTCTGCATATAGAAACTGACATAGCCCAAAAGGAGACAACAGGGTAATTACCAGAATAATTTAAGAAAACCTTGTTTGGAAGGGAAGGAAAACAAAATAATGTGATACCTAGAATGACCAGATGGATCATATGCATTAATCATAGTTGCTGGGTGACTGCTGGAAAAATATGTCTTTCA